CAATCACGCAGGAGGGTCTGGGGCAGAGCCACAGGCTGAGCACTGCGCCTGGACCTGCTGTGGCTCTGATCAGGAGCAATCCCCACACCTTGCATTGCAGCTTCCCTTTCTGTCAATAGAGGGAATGGTATTTGCTGTGCACATAAAAAGAAATGTTATTAATTCACTAAGCCAGGTTGTAGGAAGTCCTAGGTGAGTTTTCAGGTGAACTTCACATTTTGGTTGCGAGGTTTAACCCTAAATCCACTATTCACAACCATACAACAGTATTTTCCAGACCTGTGTTCAGTTCAGCTTCCAAACACATGTTTTCCTGTTGTCTCAAGATGTGATCCACTGATTTGCTGCATCCCTCAACCAGAAATCCTCCTCGATACCCAGCCTAGAATTTCCATGTATTTAGCTTAATTCCCTTCACAATACATCATCCATGCTGCTGCCTTCCTCCTCTGGGCACCCATCACTTGTGATTGGCAACAGCAGCAATTTCTCAGTTGACCTACAGCATCTGTTCCCATCTTCCCTGTTTTTCTGGGACAAATCCAGCACAGAGCCAGGTCCCGTGAAGGTTTCTGCCCTGAGCTTTCCCATCTCCATCCTCACAGTGTAGAGAACTGGAGGCAGCTGGTGGGGCTGGTGCATGCCTCACAGCACAGGGATCGGCTGGAGCAGGGAGCACAGGGGTAATGCAGAGCAGTGAGGCAAGGCAGGGTTTGCACAGGGAATTAAAACAGTGAGCCCAGGCAGCCCTGCCTGCCAGTGAAAGCCTCTTCTTACACCTGAGAACGTTATCACAACAAAGAAAATACAATGAGAATGAGAGCAGGAGCTAAAGAGGGAACCTGGGCAGCACTGGGAGTGGAGGGAGGGGGGGAATATAAAAAGAAGGAAATGAATCAAGGATATAAGTGAGCAAACGAGCCAGAAATTTGGGTTAAAAAAGGCAGGATCTAAAAAAGGCAAACAAAGAAAAATGGAGCACCATGGCAAAGCAAATCCATGGGGAAAAGGCAGGAGGAGAGCGCCTGGTCAGCCCCAGCGGACAAGAGCTGTGGAGGGGATGGATGGGTGGATGGATGGACGGACCCACAGAGCTCCTGGGGTGGGTTCATGGGATAACCACTGGCACCAGTGGTGCCCATGGCCAGTGTGTCACCCTGTGCCTGAGCATGTGCCCCGTGTCTGTGCCCAGGGAAGTGCCCCCGCTGCAGCAGAGCTCACATCCGATGGGTGCTCAGGGCTGGACCGCAGCCCTCATGGGCAGGGGGACCAGCATCCTATGCCACAGCCACCTCTCCTGGCTCCTTTTGCTTGTGCCAGATGGAAAGGGGAGGGAGGGAGGGATGGGGGCTGGGGCTGCATCGCTGGGATGTCAGGGATTCATTTCTATTCTTTTCCCAGTGACATCTAAATGGCTGGTCCCAAAACGCTTGCTGATTGCTGTGTGCTCTTCCCAATGACACAAAGGCGAGAGGCTTTTGGAATAAATCATTTAGAGGCAGGGGGGAAAAAAATACATATAAAGCAGCAGATCTGACCCCAAAGGCACATTCACCTCCTTCCTCCTCACCCTCCCCATGAGCGTGTTTTGGAGCTGCTCAAGTAAAAGAGGAGAGTGAGCAGGAGTAATTTTCCACGGATGCAGGGAACAATTGAGCCCCGCATGGTTTTCATCGTTAAAATGCTTCCCTCCAGCAGTTTATGTTCATCCCCACCAGACAAAGGCGATGTGCATGCAGAGACCAGTTTAGTCTTGCTCCACCCGCCGGTAGCGAGGAGCCGAGGTGCGGGGTGACAGGGAGGAGGAATGGGGGATGAGATGCTAACGCCACGAGGTGGGACCCGCTCCAGGTCCTCTCCCTGCGCGGGCAGGGGATGGCTGAACCCGGCTCTGAGTCACCCTTACTCAGCCCCGGCGCAGCCTCACCCCTGCCCAGGTACATGGGCTGGTTTGGGGAGGGAAGAGGGGCACGGAGGAAACAAGCACGAGGGTTTAGGGGGAAGCACCCGATGCTGCTGGTGTGGCACCATCATCTCTGCATGCGGACAGGAGGATGGGGGAGAAAGAAGGCCATTCGCTTTGCAGTGGTGCTTGCTTCAGCCTTGTGCTGCCAGCCTGGCTTCTCCTGGGATCCAGCCCCTCCACTGACAGAGCAGCTCCAACCACCCTACAGACATGGGAGATCACCTTCTCCCTCCCTCCGCCCTCCCTCTTCTGCACAAACACCAGTCAGCAGTAGCACTGCACCCTGCAAGACAGCTGAGGATGGATGGTGGTACCATGTTCATGCTGAGAGGCTTCAGAGGAGACCAAGGGGACATGAGCATCTGCAGCACTGTCATCCTGACAGCACAGCCCAAAGAGGGCTGAATATGTCTGGAGGCATGAGACTGGGAGTGATGCCTGAGCCCTGAAGCAGAGCAGGGCGATCCCCAAGTGAAGCAAAGCCTCACCATGATGCTTTTTCCTCTTTGTCCTCAATTCCCTTCGCATCCCTACTCCTTTTAGATGGAAGAACATCCCTCAGTCACTGGCAAGGAGCTCCTGGCTCTGAGCATCACCTGCATCCCCCTTGGGAGGAAGGAAGACAGGGTCTGAGCTCCATATGTCCTGTACTCTGGTGTCAAACCTACCCACAGCTATGAAAAAAACAACTGTTTTTTTACAGCACAGATCTGCCCAAAATAAGAGCTCCAGGCTTCTGCAGCTGCAAGAGCTTTTACATGGCCATCTCTGGGACCTGCAGGACAGCAGGGTACAAGTTGGTGCCTGGCAGCTTTGCTGCTCTTGTACCTCAAGACACAGCATCATTTCTAAGCCCCTTTGGCACCTCTTCCCTGAGGGGTGCCTACCAAACCCACCATCCTCAGAAACCTGCTCCTTGCTGGGGGAGGCAGGGCTGAAGGGGCAATAGCACCAGTCCTATGGGAACCACATCAAGAGGACTCTAGCTCTGAGTGTGAAGAAAGACTTAAAGTGACCAGTTTTCACCCCTCCAAAAAAGTTTCTCAGTTCCTTACCAAAGATCAGCACATAGGAGCTAAACTCAGGCCCAGACTCCTGGTGGGAGATCTCTAAGCAACATTTTTGTGGTGCAGAGTAAGGTTTTGCCAAACTCCTTCCACCTACGTACTCCCGAGCCAGTGGTTTAGACCAGTGCTGGTTTGCAGGGCTTTGCCAGACCACTGAAGAAGGCTTCAAACACAACATCAAAACCCAGACCCAAACGAATCACAGGATCCAGTCATGATGCTCCAACAGCCCTTTGTGAAGGCCCATGCCCAAACCATCCTCATCGAATTACAGCCCCCCAGGTACATGTGCCAAGCTTTTTGCTCCCTGTTCTCCTTGAATGTGTGTGCTTTTTTAAGCTCCTTTCCAATATTCAACAAATACATTTAGAAATAGTTGGGTTTTACCTAAGAGGTGATGGCACTTACGTGGTCATGGAGAGATGCTTTACATATATAGCTTGTGTGGGAAAGATTTTGGATGGCTCCTTGACAAGAAGCATAACAAGGAGAAAGGCAGTTTCTACAGAAGATGATCTCAGGGAGCTTAGCCAAACAAAACAAAGGCCAGAAGGGGTAGGATTGCTACACATAAAAACACCCCAGAGAGAGCTGAGATGCCTATTTAAGCAGTAAGGACAATGCTGGCATGAAACCAAGTGGGAAAAAGATCAGCTATGAGTAAATATAACTGGGATTAAAAAGGAGCTTCAGAACTCCTAGAGCACTCAGCATGGGGGATGGACTTGCAGGGGACACACTGGAGGCTGTGAGGATGGAGCACTGTATCTTTACAAACAGAATCCTAGGAGCACGTGTGGACAGCAGGTCTGGATTTGACTCAGAAGGTCTGTCCTGGCTCTATGCTTCTATCAGTAAAGACATCCTACAAGTCTCTGAAACTGGGAAGCTAAGCCCAATCCCAGCACTCAACGTGCCCACAAAGCTGTGTCAAGAGCTCTTGAAATCTTCTTAGATGAGAAGTCAACCCAAGAAGATACATGAGCTGGCTTCTCTTAAATTGTGTGTGCCTTGAGATTGGTAACTTTTCAAAGAGCTGTAATGAGCACGGATCTTGGAGAGCTGCAACAATAGCTTATTTTCAAGGAAAATTAAGAACAGCTTGTTTTTTCTAATCTTACAGTTTCCTCCAAACAAATGTGTCACAGCTGTTATACCTGGAGGTCATGGAAAAAAGGTCTCATTGGAACTGCTGCGAGAAGAGTTTTGGCCAAAGAGCTTTAATGTGTCCTGTATGAATACAATGAGAGACTGAAGAGAAACTGTCATCTTGCCCACGGAGACAGAACGATGAATAGCAGTCATGAATTTAAGGGGGAAAAGCACAAATACTTTGTAGTAGCAAAGACAGAAGAGTATTGGAAGAGATTGTCCAGGGAAATGTTGGCCTCTCTATCTCTGAAGGGTTAGGGTTTTATAAACGGGTTAGAACCATCTGTCAGGAGTGATTCCTAAAAAGCTGCTCCTTTTCTCAGCAGCAATATGGGTTATATGGCCTTCTGCAATGGCGACTAATATTAGCTGTAATACAAAGCTCAGCACCAAGATGAAGATGACAGAGACTTCTTGATGGCTTATGTTAAAGGCTGGACACAGAACTGCTGCTAGGTGTCAGCAGGAATCTCTACATCTCCACGTGGAGACACCAGTTCTAAAGCAGTCCTGAACATCTCAGGCCTGGCGTGTGGTGTCACAGCCTGAACTGGAACAGTAAAGGCTTAATCAAGCCTTATACATTATTAACTTTATTTGCATTGTTTCATATGTGAGGCTCAGGAAAGGCTCGTTGTTAAAATGCAGAGTTTCAGAAGGCCCGGGGACACACAGTAGTGATGCAGTTGACCAGAGTTTCAGTACCATCACACTGGTGTTGCTGGACAAAGACCCAAGCTGCACTGACGATGGTCAGAGGAACAAGGTGGGGTTACATCAATCAATGTCACCACGAGAATGATGAAATTAAAAAAATACAGCTTTGCTTCATATCTTGTGGCCACCTCCAAAACAGTTCATGGGGAAAAGTATCCAGTTACCACAAGCAAGCGTTTTTCTGAACCCATTTAAAATCTTAAAACCACAATACATAAACCTAACAATAGCAAATGGCAAGACATCAGGAATCCATTGAAAGAAAAGCCCAGTATAATAGAAAAGAGAATGAAACGTAACTATTGCTGCCAAAGAATAATCTCCCATAAACATTTTTAAAGGCAAACAAGAGGATTATCAATGAGAGTTGAGGCAGGATAAGGGCAGATAATTTAGGTTCAAAGGAACATATTTGGTATTTCAAAGGTACATTGAGGAGACTTTTAAAAGTGACCTAACCCCCCCAATCTATTTTCCATAGGACTCAAGGTCAGAGGAGGTAGCCTGAAGGGAGCAGAGGTGACAGATCTCTTCAGCTCCCATCCCACCTCTGCCTCTGTACAGCCTGAGGCTGGTCCTTTATCCTGCCTCAATTTCCCCATCCACAAGTGACACAAGCACTGTAAGTTACAGCCTCCAAAGGGAGCAGGAGGGCTGCAAGGCCTGAGAGGTGACATTGGAAGCTTAAATATGTAAAACACGGCTGCTATTTTCCCTGCCTAGTGAATACAAGTGGTCACAGGTATGGTGCAGGATCTGCAGCCGCACTCTGGTCTCCGCAGGGACCAGTTTCAATGTGCATGCTGTAGCCCATTAAGCTCGTGAGTTGATTTAGTAGAACTCCAGAGCTGCTGTACTGTGCACATTGTTCTGACAGCTGTTAAGGACTGACCTGCTGACTCTCACTGCTTCCTGCCACATCCTGTTCCTTGAAGGACAGCTGATTACCTTTTCCTCCCTAATGAGTTCAATGAGTCTGCAGACAGGCTGAGGCTGCCCACTTGCATAGTGCATGATCTTTGGCTTCCTCCGCTGCCTGATCTCTGCCGGCAGTCAGAGATTGAAGATATGTCTGTGTGAGAAGCCAAACATGGAAACGTCACAGGGAGCAAGGAACTGTGAACTAAGAAATTAATGTGCTGTAGGACAAAAGTTCAAGGAAGCACCAGGAAGGCAGACCACCACTGGAATCTGCACTGCAGTTTGAAAGGACATATCCACTAGACAATCTGACCTGGGAACATTCTGACCCAAGGAAGAGCAGACATTTATATGGGGAGCAGATGTCTGGAGGAACAAAATAGTAGTTAAAATACTCCTCCTCCCTCCCCCCCAAATTTCAGAACTAGTTCTTAACTCCTGCCCAGCCACTTTATTTCCTGTAATCACAAGTGCTCCCTTTCTTTGCATGCCTCTGAAGCAGGTTTCCAGATCATCACCTGAAGTACTTGGTAGAAGTCACTGTAAGCAGGAAATCAAACTAACTAGGTCATCAGTCCAATCCTCAACAGTAATTTCAAGGTTTCTTGCCCTCCTTACACTACCTCTTTATCTTCTAGCACCTCAGAAAAATTACTGGTCTTATTAAGAGTTATGAGCACACACTTAGCTCTGTGTGGAAGTGTGCCCTTGCAGTCCCCAAAGATTAGGCTGCCCTGCCTCTGCAGTGGGAAGCTCTGTGGGTGAAGTTGGGTAGCTGTGTGGAATGGCTGGGCTTACACACAGCAGGACATGTGGGAACCAACAGCTCCCCTAATGCCCAGTTACTTCGACAACAGTGGGACAGGCATTGAGATGCTCTTGGGAGCACGGCTGTGTAAGTGGTGCTGCTTTGCACTGGCTCAAGCCTTTCCAGCAGGGTAAGCAATGAACCCTTCAAATCTCAGTTTCTTCTGGAGTTAATAACAATCAGGAGACAGGGTAAGTTAATGTGTACCTAAAACAGCTTTAGGAAAACTGGAAAATTCTAGCAATGAAATAGAGCTGCCTTCATTTTAAAGCCTCCACTCCTAACTGTGTCGGCGGCTTGGTGGCTTATGTGACAGCACTTTGCTGTCAATCCCTTCTAGATATTGTGATAACACTGTTTGTCTTTAGATTTTGGTTTGTCACGTACAAAGCAAGCAGTGGGGAGCTGCCAAGGCCTGCACAGCTCACGGGTCCTCTCCCCATCCCAGGGCTTTTTCTGGCTGAAGAGGTGCAGTGGGTGAGCAGGTCAGAGTGGGTGTGCTGCAGGGGAAGCTTGTGCTGCCATTGCTCTACCTGCTGTGTGGGTTAAGGCTCCCCAGAGCTGTCAAGCTGCCACCTTTCACCAGCCTGAAATTAAAGAGTATTATTTAAGTAAACAACCTGAGCTGCTAAGCTGGTCTGATGGCCAGCTCCAGCTCCGCTCTCACTTGGAGGGATTGCTGATTATCTCAGTACACAGAGCCGTGAGTAAATATTGGTTCAAACACAGATAACTCGTGGGCAAAAGCACAAGGCTGCATGCAGCTCAAATAAACAACCTGCAAAAGCAACGTCTGCCAGGCCTGGACCTCCCCATCCCTCTTGTGCACCCCGAAGGCTGCCCTGGCTGTTAGCACAGCTCTGTATGAGCCCTGCCAGGCACTGTGCTAAGCACTGAATCCACAGGGATTATACCCAAAATAAAGCAGCATGCAGCACAAACATACAGCTGGAAGAAACCCCACTTTGCCCATTCTGCTGGTCAGAGGCCATTGTCGGGCTTGTTCTCAGCTACAACAAAGAGGTGAACTGGTTCCCTTATTCCGTAAAGGACGAGTGTGGGATATAACTTCCTGCAGGCTAAATAACCTTCCTTGCCCTCGAGGCTTGTTCATTTTATTTATGGCAAAATATGCTTGTTAATGCTCTTATCACAGGAATGATCTAATCTGGGGTGGGGGGGGGAAGTTTCCTTTGAATATATCCATTTTAATGAGCTGCTGGGCGAAATGTTTAGGCAGGCAAAACTGACTCTGAACTCGTTTCTGACAGAGCAGATTCTGCACAGGCCTTAACGTTCATCCTGCTGACATCTGTTTGTTTTGATAACATTTCCAAACGAAATGCGGAGTTACAAAAGCTGAGCTGTACTGTGCACTTCCTCGTCCCTAAGGTTGACTGATCCAAGCACAATAGGAACTGGGGGAAAATAAGCCACGCCGTCCAGCTGTCTTCCCGACACGGAGGCTGTGAAAGTGGCCCATCCTGTAAAGAAACACCAGATTGTGCTGAATGATTCTGTAGGAGAAAAGGGAAGCTAAGCAAAAAAATATATAAATCTACCACACAAATGCTCCAGCAAGCAAGGGAGGGAAAGGGGTCAGCAGAGGAAGAAAATATTCATGGAAGAACTCCAGAAAGCCGCTGCATGCCAAACTGCCAATCACAATGTGACCACAGAGGGGCTTGCTTTCTCAGCACCCCACTGCTCTCACCCAGTGCTCAATCTCCCCTTGATGGCACTGAATCCTTTGCAAGAGCCTCCATCACCTCTTGTCAACTTGGGGAGGGAAGCAGAAGGAGAGGAGAGGATGGAGATGTGAGCTGCACCGGTCTCAACGTAAATGAAACAGAAAATGGACTGTGGAAGCTAGGATGTTGCAGTATCTCCCACTATCGTTTTGTAACTACCTCAGCTTCCCTCATGACCATTTGTTTGTAACCCAAAGAAAAATCAATACAAAACCTAAGCTTGTGGAACATTATTCTTCAGCTACAGAACTGTAACAACACATTGCTCAGGCACACTTCTTTCTCCAGGACTCTCAAGGTGCCATTCTCTGACTGCATCTTGGGCCTTCTGCTGTTGGCTAAACCACTTCCTACCTGACTATATTTCCTGTTCTTACTTCTGGCTTCTTCCTTTTCCCCCACATTATTTCTGTGTGGAAAGTGAACAGCAAAACCTGATGAGTTCGATCCTGCAGACGTAAGGAAAACAATTCAGCATTTATCAGATGACAAGCACGACGTTGGACTACACCCCTGAATCAGATAACGAGACTTTAAATCATTTTAAGCATCTATTATCTCATCTGCAATAGATATATAGTCCTCTTTATGTCAGCTGGTTTTAAGTGAGAAAGCGGAGATCCAAATTTTCTTTGGTAAGAAGAACAGACATTTGTTGGCCTGACAAACTAGTGGCTGCTTTCCTTTAGCTCAATCTCACAAAGATCTTGGAAAAGAAATTCTTCCCTGTGCTGGTAAACATCTAAGAATTCCAGCTTAACTTGGCAGTGGCATGCAGGATCTCTTTCCAGCACAAGTGGGTCTGCAGAAAACCTGACCTTCAAATCAGATCATTCTCACTTGGGTGACAATGAAAATGAGGAGAGTTTTCCAGCTAGAAGTGTTCTAATTACACGTCCCACAAAGATCAGAATAGATTCTAACGTGCCAAATAGTGATTTTTTTTGTGTGTATGAGGGGAGTATTTAAAATTAGATAACTGGTAGTTAACCATTACCTGTAAGGAAGGGAACCAAAAGCTCTAAGGAAGGAGATGGGTTGACATAAGAGCCCTGCTGTGCAATGCTTGTGAACCACAGGGCTTACAAAGTTTAGAAATACCAGTGTTTTGATAAAGGCCTCACAAACTTTTGCTGTGCTTCATCTCCACACAGAACTGACCAAGATGAACGGTTAAATTATTCTGGGACTAAAAGTGGCTACATTACAGAGTGGGGAAGTCATCACACGCAGTGATTTCTGTGGAAACACATCAGAATGGACATCTCTGCCTCAGTTTCTGTTCGGTTTTGGTGCAGGGCTACACCTCTAGATAACCCTTTAAACTGTAAGAACAAGTAGAGTCTTTCTGGAGAGGAAACAGAAAGAAAGGCCGCAAGGATGATCAGGGGCTGGAGCAGCTCCTGCATGGAGCCAGGCTGAGAACACTTGGCCTGTTCAATCTGGAGAAGAGAAGCTGTGTGGAGACCTCAGAGCCACTTCCAGTGTCTGAAGGGGGCTACAGGGATGCTGGAGAGGGGCTCTGAATCAGGGACTGCAGTGACAGGACATGGGGTGATGGGTTCAGACTGAAACAGGGGAAGTTCAGGTTGGAGATAAGGAAAGAGTTCTTGACTGGGAGGGTGCTAAAGCACTAGGACAGGTTGCCCAAAGAAGTGGTAAATGCTCCATCCCTGGCAGTGTTCGAAGCCAGGCTGGACAGAGCCTTGGGTGACATGGTCTAGTATGAGGTGTCCCTGCCCATGGCAAGGGGGTTGGAACTGGGTGACCTTAAGGTCTTTTCCAACCCTAACTATTCTACGATTCTATAAAAGGCAATCAGAACAACTTGATTGTCTGGCTCAACTGATTTATTATTATTATTTTTTACCATTTTTGGGGAGTTACTAAGTGTGTAATGGTATGTAAGGACTGTACATACTTTAAAAGAGAGCTCATGTTTTTCTTTCTGTTGTACTTCCCTAGTCAGCAAATAAGAGACAGCTTAATTCCCATGATACTGCTAAATGCCATAAACATCAATTTTCACATTCAAGAAGAGCTATGACAGCATGATCCAGCCAAGCAGAAAATACAAGTGGAGTTCTGCTACATGCCAAATATCTTTTTTTTCCCCCCATTTACCTTCACTGGAGCTTTGTTACTCCTCTAGGACATGGACAAGGGAGCTGTTTCATTGACACCTGCAGCAGCCCCCTTTCCAATCGCCTCCTCAGTGGTGGAAAAACACACAGAAGCACCAATATTTGCAGCCGTGTCATTTAGTTATGTTTTAATCAGCTAAACAACAGAACAGTTTATCTTTCCTTCTCAAAATAAAAGATGTGATACAACCACGGTATCAACGTGCAGGACTTCAGAACTGGCAAGCCTTACGAGTGTTTCAGGTCCTCTACATCTTTCTAAGCACTAGTTTCGTGTCATCTGATCACAAACACTTGCAAACCTGGAAACACACAATGAAGAGGAAGGACATTGAGTTTCATTAACCTGCCCATTTCTTGCTCTAACATCTATTTACATTAGCCATCAGTTTGGAATTTGCCTTCAACTTACTCCTGTGCTGCCATAAACTCTTCCTCCAGTCTTTCAGAGGATGAGATTCTCTGCCTCTGTGTTGAAAGCTGCTGTGCCACAACTGACACAGGCAAGCAGGAATTGATGCCCACACACCAGCTGTTAGGGTTCACTGCCCAGTGTGAACCGAGCATTCACTCAGCCCTGGAATTGAGATGGCTTTGGACTACGATGATAGAATGGGTTGAGTTGGAAGGGCCCTTAAAGCTCACCTAGTTTCAAGCCCCCTGCCATGGGCAGGGACACCTTCCACTAGCCCGAGTTCTCAAAACCCTGTCCAACCTAGCCTTAAATGTCAAACTAGGGATGCAGCCATGGATAGGGGAATTACGGCAAACCAGAGGTAAAAAACCAGCTGGAGATGGCAACATCTCAAACTTCCTCAGCTGGTAATCCTGAAATCGTGAGTCAGAGGCTTCTCTGTGAGGGCTTATGAATCACTGTCACTGCTAAACTGGAAGTTAGGCTATCTCAGCAAAACCACAGCTGGAACTAATCCCACACCATATTTAACACACAAAAGCAAAACAGGTTGATTGGGCTTTCTGCAGACTACAGAGCACCACAGCATCAGCTGGATCACTCACTGTAAAACAGGATGATGGCCCATGGAGACGACAAGCATCCAAAGGGCAAAGCTGTTCCCAGTGCCACAGTAAAGAGGAAAGCAGCTGCAAGGGTGATCTCTAATGCAGTTCCATTGTAAGGAATTACAGTCAGATTACTACATGAATAATAAATGCCATTATTAGAAATAATGAAACAAAACACTCAGGCAGTCCTTCCACTGGCTAACACATTAATTCCCCCATCAGGAAAACCTTTCTAATACAACACCCAAACCATGAATTGCTAAATCTTCTCATTTGGTCCGGATATTCCTGAATTGCAGCTCTCCCATTGTTTCAAATCGGTCTCTGGGTAATGCACTAAATGGCAGCCAGCTTCCCCTCCATAAATCAAGCAGCAAATCTAGAGCGCGAGGTGAAAGCGAGCACTAATGTCTCAGTTATGCTGTGTTCTGGGAGCTAAGTGCATGTAGCTGCAGCAGAAAAGGGATTTTTCTCTCATACCTCTTACTTACCACAACTCCCAGACTAGCCACTGGCTGCTGGCCAGGCTCAGCTTCTCATCTAAGCTGTAGGAGAACAGAGAGTGTTTTCTTTCAGCATTACACTTTGTTCCATCATAGTCAATCAGAGCAGTTTCAGGACACAGAAGGTGGGTTGGGATTTAGACACTTATCCTTGTGCAAAGTGGAACCAATCAATGGACTCAGAGCTCCTGGATGGGAATATTTTAAAGCAAATACAAATGAGCAAGATAGTAAAAAAAAACCCACCCTAAAATATAATCAAATGCCCCAATGCAGCTATGGCATCTGAAGGCAATAAAACAGGCGTGCCCATCACGGGTTGAATAAAGCAAGCACAGCCATCTGCATTGATTTCCTTTTTAGAAAGCCACTGTTTTGAAAATCACTACAATGTCTCTTTAGTGGTGTTCTTTGGCTCTACAGATACCTTTTCCCACTTGATTTACACGGCACACCTGACGCAAACTCAATTCACTATCATTTACACCATTATTCTGAGCTGTCTTTCCATACAGGATAAGCCACGCTGTTCAGGATGCGCCCTGACTTCTGTCATGTGCTTCCGATTTGGTTTTCAGGCTGAAATGGTCAGAAATGGTGAAGACAAAGCTCTCCTGTCACGGCAATTATAACCTATTATACCCTATTTACCTTTTGTACACATCTGCTGCTTTTAAGCTGAATTTTAGATTGACCCCCAGCCCCAAAAGGATAAATCTGTGTTTTCATCACTATTATCCAAAAGAGAAGTGGAGCATCCCGCTTCCAAACTCCCATCCTTTCCTCCCGACTTTGCTCTTGCCATGGGGCTGTGGAAGAGACCCAACTGTGCTCCCAAGCCTTGGATTTGCCAAATCCTTGCAGATGAAAAGCAAAGCGCTATGTTACATTACAGCCCAACTTCTGCTCTGTAAATAGCCGGGATTTACTCGCTTCCCCGTGAAGGTACAACACAAAGCCCTTCTCCATTCCAGAGGCAACCACCAACCATTCCCCAGGCAACCAAAGCTCTCCGTTACTGCCCCAGCCAGCACAACACACAGGCCAGAGGGAAATTGCCCACTGCGAGTGGGGGCACGGCCACAGCCCAAACCCTGCACCCAAACCCCAGCCACAACTCGGGGCCCTTCCTTCAGGGCCCCTCTCCAGGGGGATCCTCTGGGTATTTTAGTCCAAGCTTCTCTCAGCATCTTGCCCACAGGCGCTCTGAGCGAGAGCTGGGAGGGGAGGGAGCGATGCCCCCTGCTCCCCACAGGAGGCCCCCACTGCTGCCCCTGCCGCTCTGAGCCCCGACCGCCCTGCGGCCATGCCCAGACCCCGGCCCCCCTCGGACCCTCCCGCCCCGCTTCTCCGCGGCCACTGGCCCCACTCTTCCCCCGCGCGCATGCGCGAGGTGGGGACCGGCCCAGCCCCTCCCTTCCCCGGCGGTTTACCTCAATCGGGCGGGGGCGCGGACGCGGGACTCGAACCGGCGGCTCCGAGGGGAAGTGAAGGATACGGCTCCGCGCCGGAGCCTCCGCAGCCCAGCCCCGCCAGGCCTCGCCCATCCACTGCGGATGCAGCCAATCAGAGGCTGCCATTTCCCCTCTTCTCTCCGCCCCGACCCCTTCTAACCAATGCTGAACCCCCTCACTCTGCCAGCCTATAGAGAAAGGGCTCACTGTTTCGCCCCGCCCCCTAGCTCCCATCAGCCAATGGAAAGCGAGGCTTTGCGAGGGACTTTTCATCAGATTGGGCCTCTTCCCAGTCGGGGGCGGTGCCACGACGAGAGGTGTGGCTTGAGGAGAGTATATAAGAACCCACTGGGGTGCGGTGCCATTTTGTGTACGAGTGCCTGGGGAGCGGCCGGAGGGAGGCAGCGGAGGGTTTCGGGGTTCGGACCAGAGCGGCCGGATGGTGAAATCCTCCCTGCAGCGGATACTCAACAGTCACTGCTTCGCTAGAGAGAAAGAGGGGAATAAAAGCACCATCATGCCCGCTGTGTTGAGCCTCAGTACCGGACAGAGCAGGTGAGGGGCCGGGGCCTCCCTCAGCCTACGCACCGCTGGGCGCTCGCCGCCTTCTCCTTTCCCCTCAGGGCCCACCCTTCTCGTCCTGCAAGCGCCGGTCGCCTCCCCCGTGGCCGGGGGGAGGGGTGCTCCGTGGCGGCAGGGGGAGGGGCGGCCCTCGCCGCCTCAGTGCTGAGCGCTGCGGCCTGGCCCCTTTCCCTCCTTCCTCCCCCTCAGAAAAAGGAGAGAGGGAAAGGGGTAAAAAAAAGGGGGTTTTATAACGGCCAAGGCGGCGGCAGCGCCGGCTGCGCCCAGGTTCCGTGCGGCGTCACCCGCCACCGTGCTGGGCGACACGTCCTCCCCCTCCCGGGGGGTGCCTGCGGCTGCCTCCCGCCCTGTGCCACGTTAACTGCCTGCGGGAGAGCTCCCTGGAGCTGTCACAGCCATGGGAGGAAGCCTTGGAACCAACTCGCTGCCCTCCGGGTAAGCGGCTCTCGAGTAAGCCGGAGGGAGCCTGCAGACAAAGCCGGGCCGGAGGCAGGGCCTGGAGGTGCCTTCTAACCCCTGAGGGGGGAAAAAACAACCATTAAGCGAAGATATCAAAGGATTTGGAGCTGTTATCCCCTTATGTAATCGTAGATATTGAAATCTAATCGAGGGTACTGAGCCTAAAGTAGAATATAAGAGCGTTAGGAGAGCTGCTAGTTTAGAACTCAACCGAAAGATTAAACAGTCCCGACAGATGCTGGGGTAGAAATACCCGAATCGGGGTGATGGACACTTAGGATGTCAGTCTGCCTCGTCTGAAGGGAGCTGGGATTAGAGCTTATATGTGGACTGTGAAATGAGTTCTAGCGTTATTTTTAGAGGGGCATTTTTATACTTCACTGCTTTTTACAGCTTATGTTTCCTCAAAGAGGTGTAGGTGCGCACAAGCATCACTCTGAAATGCATTGTTGATTGCAGAGTGTAGGCAGCCTTCATTATGCACCACCCTTCGTTGGGGGAAAGGGGAAACTGGCTCGAGGGTTGCCACTGCACACTTCTGAGCTGGGTGCTTAAAGGTTTATTTGTAAGGTAATTGGGAACACATGGCTCTGCAGTCATTGTGAGAGAAAACAAGTACCTAATCCTCATACTAAGAGGAAGTGATTTTTCACCCTTTCAAAGAGCATAAAATAATGGATTTAATGCTCCTTTAATAGTGTGATTTCGTTTTCTTTTAAATAAACCTTTGCAGTTGCTGTGTTGACTGGTGTCTTCCCGTGTATATTTCACCTATATAGCCCTTCAGTGCCTTTCTTATGCACGTTGTTATCCCAGATCTGCAGCTCGTGAAAAAGAGGAAACTCCTGTGAACTGTGCAAAATGGTGGATTATTTGGTACATGTTTATTCTGATTTGCAAATGGCTGCTGGCACTCACAGACAGGATGATTGTGAAAATTTCCCTAAGGGCCTCGATTGCTGCATCTGCTGAGATGACGCAACTCAAGAGTGAGCCTGCAGGGTGAAGGATGGTGCAGAGGGAGGGGCCAGGCACCATGGCTCTTGCTACAGTAGCAGGCTTATTCATTTAAGCAGGCTTATGTGGATGGTGTGAAACTTAGCACGCATGCAAGAAATAGGCTTCGTATCTTAAGAGGATAATGTTCTTAACGTGAAAGACTGAAGCAGTGTGAAATTGCTCTGAGGAATTCAGTAGAAAGGTTTGTAGGTTTGCCAAATGCTCAGGTATGGTCTCAAAGTGAAAAGTGGTGATTTTGCTTCGGAGCATGGTGAAAGCCTTTGAGGTAGTGACATCTGCGAGGCTATTTCGTGTAGCTTGCTGATCCTGGAGCTGAATGTGCTGGTGCCAAGGTCTGAGGTGGTTAGGGACATACATCACGGGAAAAATGACCCCTGGTTTGCTGGGGCATTATACTGATGCCAACCCCGAGAACAAGGTGGGGGAGAAAATGGCATCTTGTATATGTGACAGCAGAATGGTTCCTCTCTTGAATTCAGGTCAAGCATTCTGCTGCCTCGGTATCGAGCTAGATACCCTGCTCACTTCAAGCTGAGAGTATTTTCATCTCTAAGTTAGTCTTTCCCTCAAAATACTGCAGTAGCAGCTTTCTGACCCTGTGGGTTTGGGCGCAGAGCACCAGTGTTCCATCCCTGGTCTGGAGGCTCCTTTGTTTTACCACTTGTTTAGGTTGCCAGTGGGAGGAGTTCTCCTCCCCTAAATTGGGTTTTATTTCCTAAATCTTGCCATCTGATTACTGTTTAAAACATCTAATTCCTATAATCACTTTGTCTAACACTCCCTTTCTGCACCTCTGTGTTCCCTTTCTAGTTCCAGGGTTCCCTTCAATTGCTGTAGTAACCTGGGTCCGGGGCCTCGGTGGTGCTCCTGATGTCCCTCACCCACCCCTGAAGATCCCAGGTGGGCGAGGGAATAGTCAGAGGGATCACAATCTTTCAGCTAATTTATTTTATTCGGTGAGTATCAATAATAAGCAGCTTGCTCTGGTGAACTTGAATGCGTTTCTTGACTCAAGCCTGTCAATGGGATTACCCTTTCTCCAAACTGAACTGGAAATAACCATGCACATCTCACTGCTGCAGGATAATCGGCTGAATGTAACAGAAGAACTAACATCTAATAACAGGACAAGAGTTCTGAATGTCCAGTCAAGGCTTACAGATGCCAAACACATTAGTTGGAGAGCAGTGCTGAACAACAACAACCTCTACATTGAAATTCCCAGTGGTGCTCTGCCTGAAGGGAGCAAAGACAGGTGGGTTGGCTAAAATGCAACTCTGGTTTGACTTGCCTCTGTCTCAAAGGCCTGGCGGTAGTGTGAAATAGCACTTCAATGTCATTGGTTTGCCTTCATTGTTCTGAAGTTTGAATTCTTAATTATGGTGCTTGATCACAGAAACATCAAATGGTTTGGGCTGGAAGGGGCCTTGAAGCTCACCCAGTTCCAGCCCCTGCCACGGGCAGGGACCCCTTCCACTGGAGCAGCTTGCTCCAAGCCCCTGTGTCCAACCTGGCCTTGAGCACTGCCAGGGATGGGGCAGCCACAGCTTCTCTGGGCACCCTGTGCCAGCGCCTCAGCACCCTCACAGGGAAGAGCTTCTGCCTAAGAGCTCAGCTCAGTCTCCCCTCGGGCAGGTTCAAGCCATTCCGCTTGGCCTGGCCCTACAGGCCCTTGTCCCAAGCCCCTCTCCAGGTTTCCTGCAGCCCCTTTAGGCACTGGAGCTGCTCTAAGGTCTCCCCTTCAGGAGCCTTCTCTTTGCCAGGCTGCCCCAGCCCAGCTCTCTCAGCCTGCTCCAGAGCAGAGCTGCTCCAGCCCTCGCAGCATCTCTGGCCTCCTCTGGACTTACTCCAACAGCTCCAAGTCCCTCTTGTGTTGTTGCTTCAGAGCTGGATGCAGAACTACAGGGAGGGATTTCCTCAGAGCACAGTAGAGGGGGAGAATCTCCTCTGCTGGTCTTGATGCTTTTGTGTAAGAGGCTGCAGCTTAAGTGATCCTGCTTTGAGGACCCCTGTTCTGTCAGAACCACCCAAAAGGTCTGTAATTTCAAGCCCTCGCAGGTATCGGGTGACTTCATCTGTCTCCTGAGAACACCAGCCTGGTTCTTAGCCTGTCACCGCAGTTCTCTGTTCAGCTGCCACAATAAAGCATGCTCTCTGTGTTACTGAGTTAGGCCTGGGGCTTGGGGATCGCCTCTGGGTGTGAGTCTCCAGCCCAGCCTCTTCCTCAGGCCTGTACATTCATGTGCAGATGTCAAGAGGGTCTCACTGTCTCTGAAGGAAGTGTTTGCTTGTGTGTGCTGACCACATTGTATTTGTCTTGCAGTTTTGCAGTTCTTCTGGAGTTTGCTGAAGAACAGCTTAGAGTTGATCATGTGTTCATTTGTTTCCACAAGAACAGAGATGATAGAGGTAGGTGGACTCACGGCACTGTCTCCATTGATTGGGAGCATTGTTTGAAGCTGGTTTTGGTGGACACTTGAACTGTTGTACAGCATCAGTGGATGAAATGTTTTCTGCTTTTTTCCTAGCTGCATTGCTCCGGACTTTCAGCTTTTTGGGCTTTGAGATTGTGAGACCAGGGCATCCCCTTGTCCCCAAGAGACCAGATGCTTGCTTCAT